TTTTTTTTTTTTTTTTTCTTTTTAAGTTTCGCTTTTTTAAATCTAGGTGAAAGTGCTTTTAAAAAAATTCTTTCCCTATTTACAGGTTTTAAAATCAGACCACGTTAAATGTTCAGGCTGTTTTTTTACCGAGATCCTGCTGATCTGTGCCAGTGCGCGAGGAAGGAGGGTGACAGTAAACACGAAGGTGATCTCTTGCCCGGTGACGGCGTCGGCTCTGGCTCGCTGGCTCTTCCAAAAGGCACCTCAAAGTGCAAAAGCAACGACCCCCCCCCAACCCCACCGCCCCCCTTGGGGGACGCCGGCACCCGGATCCGGCCACGGGGAAGCTCACCCGTCCGTCCGTCCGTCCGTCCGTCCATCCTTTCACCGGCGACGGGCGGAAAGTCTCGACTGAGATTGTTCGAAAAGCACCACGCGGTTGTTGTCATCGTTGGGTTGTTTGTTGGGTTCTTATTGGTTTTTTCTTTCTTTTTTGTTTTTTTTTTTTTGATTTTTGCGGGAAGAACGGCGATCCGTAGGAAGGAGGGATGGCACCCGGGGAGAGAAAAAAAGCACCGAGCCCCGGCGGCGCGCGCCGGCACCGGCGGGGAAGGGCGACCGGCGCGGGGGTTTGGCCAACCAAGTCTTGGGATTCGCTCTTCCCAGAGCCGATCGCACGGAGAAAAGTCCCCCGGAGACGGAAAGCACCAGACTTTAGCAACAGTGATGTACAGAGAGCAACACTAGCTATTCACAGTTTGGGGTTGGTTTGTGTGTTGTTTTTTTTTTTCCTGTTTTTGTGTATATATATATTTAATTTTTTTTTTTTAAAACTTTTCTTTCTGTTTTTGTCCTGTCGGCTCCTTTAGAGATGCCGCCGCCGCCGCCATCGCTCTCCCCGGGGCCACCAGCAAAGGAGCCCCCCCATGTCCGAGCTCGAGCGTGGCCCCCCCGGCAGCGGCGGTCTCCAGCCCGGACGTGTCCTGAGGTCTCCGGCGCCGGGAAAGACGCCAACTCGCTCCGTCCCGCCGGAGCCGATCCCGGAGCCGAGCAAAAACGCACCGTCCTGGGACACCCCGCTCAGCAGCGGGTCTCCCGTCGCTGTAAGAAAGGACTCCTCAAGTTGCAAAATAGGTATTTTTAGGTCCTCGGGGAAAAATAAAAAGTCATGGATGTTCCACGTGTCCGGCTGGGGGTAAAGCCCACGAAGCCGCCAGCCCCCACGCGTCGGAGCTGGAGGGAGTCACCTCTTGCCTTTAAGCTGGTTTGGTGTTGGGGTTGTTTATTATTTCTTCTTCAGGGTGTTGGGGTTGTTTATTATTTCTTCTTCAGGGTTTTGGGGTTGGGTGGTTTGTTTTTTCCACATTGGCTTCTTTTTCGAAGATCGGCTTCGTCGTTGTCGCCAGAGTAAAAAATAAAATAAAATAAAATCCAATAAATAGGCATTTTTAAGTGGAATTAAAAACCTCTCCTTTGCGAAAGGACGCTATAAACTTCTCCCTCCGTTCGCACGGCGCACGAGGCTAGATTAAAAAAACGCGGAGATATAAATATGAGATTACCGAAAAGCGTCAAACAGCATCGTTCCTCTATTCTTTTTCTTCTTTTTTTTTATCGAGTTTTGCCTTTGTTTGCCAACTCCTCGCCAAGCGCAGCTCTCCGACGGCGTGCGCCCGCTGTTTCCAAGCGTGCGGGTTTGGGCTTCGCTTTCCATGGGTTGGGTTTTCCATTGGGTTTTGGTTGGGTTTTGCCTCTTTATCTTTTTTTTTTTTTTCCTTCTTCTTCTTTTTTAAATTTCTTTTTTTCTTCTTCTTCTTTCTTCTCCCCCACGCCCGAGGAGAAAGCACCACGAAGCAACGCCGCCGGGGCTGCGGCGCCGCCGAGGGTTGAGGTAAGATGGGGCCGCGGCCGATGGCCTCCCTCTCAGATCCAGCGGCTGTAGGGGCCCGTCACCTTGGTGTAGGCGTAGGAGGACACAGTGATGGCGGAGTTGGTGGGGATGGCCACCGCCTGCCGCGTGGGGACCGAGTCCCTCCTCTCCTTGCTGGGGGCCTCGCTCGCCAACGCGCCGCCCCACTTGCGTTTCTTGGCGAAGGCTTTGGCGTCGGGCGGGAGACCCAACCGCGCCGCCTCCTCCTGCCGGGCTCGGGCCCGTTCCGCCAACTGCTTCATCTTGGCCTCCCACAGCGCCAGGCCGTGGTTGGGCTGGTTCAAGTTCTTGTGTTGGTAGAAGACCAGGGAGATGCGGGTGGGGTGGCAGCGGTTGGGTTTCTTCAGCGGGGTGGTGGCGTGGAGCTCACGGCGGGCGCACTCGATGAGGATGGAGCCGTGGGCGGGCGCCACGGCCACCCCGCCGATGTTCTCGTCCAGGAAGTTGTGCTCGCTGTCCGACCACTCCTCCTCCTCTTCCTCCTCCTCCGCCGCCTCCTCCTCCTCCTCCTCCTCCTTCACCGCCTTCTCCGGCAGATCCTCCTCCAGGCCGAAGGGGTCCCACGGCTTCTCCCGGCGGGGCCCCGCCGCCCCCTTCTCGCCCACCGCCGCCTCCCATGGCTTCTCCGGCAACCCCGGGCTGGGCGCCGGCGTCCTCCGCTCCTCGGCCTTCACCGCGCCCCACGGCTCCTCGGGGAAGCCGGGCAGGCCCGGCAAGGCCGAGCCGAACCCCAGTGGCCCCAGCAGGCTGGAGGTGCCCGTGCCGGCCAGCCCCGTCTCCCCCAACTTGCAGGGGCTCCACGGTTTGGGCAGCAAGCCCGTGCCCCGCGTCGCCGCCGCCGCCGCCTCTCCCCCCAGAACGTTGGGCCACTGCTTCTCCGGCGGTGGCAAGCGGGCGGCCATGTCGAAGGCGCTGGGCTTCTCCCTCCCGCCCGAGCCTGGCGCCAGGCCGCTCCACGAGCCCTCAGCCGTGCTAGTCCTCTCGGGGGAAGACATGCCCCGGGGGGCTTTGAAGGGGCTCCACCGCTGCTCTGGCCCCGCGCCGCGCGCCGGGATGGCTGGCAGGGCTAAACCGGTGCCGGGCACGGCCGCCGCGCTGGGAAGGGGCTCGATGGCGGGCGGAGGGTCCGGAGGCTCCTGCTTGATGGGTCGGCCGCCGAAACAGTTCTGTGCAAACGGCGGTGCCTCCTCCGAGCCCGAGTTAGTCCTGTGCGTCCCGGCCACCGCCGCCGCTTTCTGCTGGCTGGCGTAGCGGTTCGCCCGCTCGTAGGTGCGCTGGTGATGGTTTTTGCTCCGGACGCTTTGCGGGATGGGCTCGGGGAAATCGGAGTTCCCGTAAGCGTGGTTGAGGTTCTCCTGCAAGGCCGGGACGTCGGGCTTCTTCTCGTAGCCGTTACTCACCCAGCTGCTCCCGCTCCTCTCGGGCGCCCCGTAATTGAGAAACTGCGAGGGGAACACGTGGTTGCTGGAAAAACCGTAATACCCGAAGGAGGGAAGCGCGAACTTGGAGTGAAACCCGTTCACGGAAGGCAGATTGGGCTGTGCATAGTAGGAATGGTAAGAGTAAACACTGTTCATGCTGTAGGGGTCGGAGGGGCGGCAGCTCCCCAGCACCGAGTAGCTCTCCACCACCGCGTTGCCGTTGTACTTGAAGGCGTTGTAATGGCTCTGCGGCTCCACCTTGATGGAAGGTTTCAGCGGCTGCGGGGGCAGCCCGTTTTTCAACGCCATACCTGCGGGCACAGCACACACACAGCCCCCGTGACCCGCCAGCCCAGGACACCGCCCTCGGGGAGGGAGCAAGGACCCCCCAAAAAAAAAACAAAACAACTCAGCCAGACTCGAAAATCCCACCGTGACGGGCTCAAAGGATGGGCACGGAGGTCAGTGGCACCACCCGGCGCGATGGCACCGATTTGCACCCACACTCCGGTCTCCCCACTGCACCGTGGTACAGGGAAGAACCCAGGCACCTCAAAAATGCCATCCTGCACCCCAAGACACCAAGGGCTCAACGCCACCACCCCCAGAAAGCCCCCAGCTGCATCCCCATCCCCTCACGTGCTTTCCGGACGGCTTGGGGTGGCAGGACCTCGGCTCTGCCCCCCTTACCTGCGTTTTGCTGGAGCGTGGGGAGCTCCAGCGCTTCCTGCTTGATCTTCTCCGGCGTCATCAGCTTCTCCTTCTGCAGCTTCTTCTTCTCAGCGGCGGCTTTCCTCGCTTCCAGCTGCCTCTGCCGGCAGGACTTGGCGGGCTCGGGCAGCTTGCGGACCTCGCGGGGGAAGGACGTGAGCACCTGGATGGCCCCGCTGCCCACCTTGGCGTTTTGGTTCTCCTCGCTGCCGAACTCGTCCGTGCTGGACATCTTGTAGAGGGGGAGGACGTGCAGTTGCTCATCTTCAGGGATCTTCCCCACCACGCGATTGTCTTCCTTCGTCAGCGTGCAGACCTGGGGGAGCGCAGGGTGCCATCAGGGGGACGCTGCCCACACAGGACAGGGGCAAAACCTCCTCCTTCTACCTCATCCGTGTGAAGCCACATCAGCCTGGCATCTCCCCCAGCCCCACCGCTCCCCAACCAGCACCTGGAGACCTCCTGTGGGGTTTGGGTTGGACAAAAGCAAACGCACAGTCCTCGTTAGCACCGTGATTTCATCCAGCTGGGGTGGCATCAGCAACCTACAGACCTCACGGGTTTCATCTGAGGTGTGCAAACACCAAGGACCGGCCACTGGAGTCACACAGGTAGGACAGTTGGGGACAAGTGTGGGCTTCATTAACCTCATGAAGTTCACCAAGGGCAAGTGCAGGGTCCTGCACCTCTGGAGGAATAACCCCACACACCAGTACAGGTTGCGGGTGACCTGCTGGAGAGCAGCTCTGAGGAGAAAGACCTGGGAGTCCTGGGGGACAACAAGTTGCCCATGGGCCAGCAATGGGCCCTTGAAGAATGGTCTCCTGGGAGGCACTCAGAAAAATGTGACCACAGGCCAAGGGAGGTCACCCTGCCCCTCTGCTCTGCCCTTGGGAGGCCACATCTGGAGCACTGGGACCAGTTCTGGGCTCCACAGTTCCTGAAGGACAGGGAACTGCTGGAGAGGGGACAGCAGAGGCTACAAAGATGATGAGGAGCCTGGAGCATCTCCATGATGAAGAAAGGGTGAGGGACTTGGGTCTTTTTAGTCTGGAGAAGAGAAGCCTGAGAGGAGATCTCAACGATGCTGAGCAAGAGCTAAAGGGTGGGGTGCAAGAGGATGGGGCCAGACTCTTCTCAGTGGTGCCCGGGGACAGGACAAAGGGTGATGGGCACAAACTGAGACATGGGAAATTCCATCTCAACATGAGGAGGAACTTCTTTCCTGTGAGGGTGGCAGAGCCCTGGCAGAGGCTGCCCAGAGAGGGTGTGGGGTCTCCTTCTCTGGGGATATTCCAAACCCCTCCTGGACATGTTCCTGTGGGACCTGCTCTGGGTGGCCCTGCTCTGGCAGGGGGTTGGACTGGGTGGTCTCCAAGAGGTCCCTGCCAACCCCTGCCAGTCTGGGACTTTGTGACTCTGTGATATTCCCCACTGTGTGCAGGGCTTTCAAATCCCAATGGGATCAGGTCACTCAGTGGGTGGTTGATAAACAGAAATCAAGGAAAAATACAAAATTAAACCAAATAAACGCTATTTCCACTGCAGCAGGTAAGATCTCTTCCTGTCCAACCTGCTCTGGGTGACCCTGCTCTGGCAGGGGGTTGGACTGGGTGATCCCCAGAGGTCCCTGCCAACCTCCACCCTTCTGTGATTCTGTGACAGCGGGGACTGAGTGGCTCAAAAAGGAGCATCCCAAAATGGGATGGGGGGAGCACCCCGAAAAGCCCCACCGGCCGCCTGCTCACCACCGTGCAGCCGTTGTAGAGGTTGTGCTGATCTTTGTGAGCGTGAGCGCAGAAGTCCATGCACGCCGTCACTCCCGAGAACGGCCTCCCCTCCTTCAGGCCCAGCCGGCAGTCTATGGCCACGTCCTCGTTGGTAACCTGGCAGGAGGAGGAGAGTCAGAGTCATAGAGTAATAGAGTTGCCCAGGCCGGAAGGGACCTCCAAAGGCCATCTAGTCCCACCCCCCGCAGTCAGCAGGGACACCCCCAACTAGACCAGGTTGCCCAGGGCCTCATCGAGCCTCTCCTTGAATATCTCCAGGGAAGGGGCCTCAACCACCTCCCTGGGCAACCTGTTCCAGTGCTCCACCACCCTCACAGTGAAGAACCCTCTCCTCATCTCCAGTCTAAATCTGTTCCCCTCCAGCTTGAAGCCATTGCCCCTCGTCCTGTCACTGCAGGCCTTTCTAAACAGGCCCTGCACACAATACTCCAGGTGAGGTCTCACCAGAGCAGAGTAAAGTGGCAGAATCCCCTCTCTGGACCTGCTGGCAACGCAGCTTTTGATGCAGCCCAGGATGGGATTGGCCTTCTGGGCTGCAGCTGCCCACTGCCTGCTCATGTCCAGCTTCTCCTCCACCAGCACCCCCAAGTCCCTTTCCTCAGGGCTGCTTTCCAATCCCTCACCCCCCAGTTTGTATTGGTGGCGAAGATTGTTCCGGCCCAGGTGCAGAACCTTGCATTTGCTCTTGTTGAACCTCATGAGGTTCACCTGGGCCCACCTCTCCAGCCTGTCCAGGTCCTTTTGGATGACATCCCGTCCCTCTGGTGTATCCACAACACCACACGGCTTTGGCTCCGGTTATCCAAAATCTCCTACGTGCCACCACCCCGCACCCTTTTGAGGGGCCAACGTGCTCCGGAGAGGACAATTGGTGGCCAGTACCTGGTTTTGGTAGGCTTGTGGTGCCAGCCTCTTGTAAAGCGGAGCAACCTCGGTGGCCAAGTCCTGGAAGCTTTTCCGGAGCAGCTCTTCCTGCAGTAGGGAAGAGAGAGGAAGGTGTCACCCAGGGGTTTCAGCAGAGGGGACACAATTAGGGGAAGAGCCCCCGCAACGCCACGCCGCATCCGACCCTCCCCACGATGTCCCTCGCCACCCAAAGCACGTGGCTTAAATTCCTGGTGAGGTTTTGGCCATTCAACCTCCACCATCTGTTGTACTTTTGCTTGCCCAACCCATGAGCCCTCTGGCATCTTCCCTGGGGTTTCCAGAATGACCTCATTAGTGCCACCAGCACTTGCTGTCACACCAGAAGTCTCTGTGATGCCAAAGCGAGCCTGCCCTCTAGTTTCACCGAGTTGGCTTTCTTTCCCCCCCATCTCCCTAACTCATCAAAAAAACCCCACAAAAAATCCCATTTTCAGGCTTTTCCCCCTGCAAAACTTGGAGGTGGGGGTAAAAGGAGGTCTGAACCCGCAGCCCCCGCTCCACCCGTGTCACCCACCTCTTTGGGATTGTCCCCCACCAGCCTGAACTTGCGGGGAGTTTTGCTCCGGGCGTATTTGCAGCCGTTAAAATACATGCTCCAGGAGCAGCCGAAGGAGAAGGAAGCGCCGCAGGTGTTGGGGTCCTTGCCTTGGCACGCACAGGTCCGGCTGCGGGAGGGACACCATGGAGGAGGGTCAGCAGCACCGAAAACAGAGGCAGGGGGGGACATCCCACATCCCCTTCCCACCCCATCCCACGTTCCCCAAAGCATCCAGGTGGTGCGGGGAGACTTACTCGTCGTTCAAGCCGCAGCGGCGGCTGGTGGGGTTGCCGTACTTGGTGAGGGTGTCGGTGAGCTCCTGGTAGAGCGTGTCCCCCAGCGTGCGGGGGATGCCCTCCCAGGCCAGGATGAGGATGATGATGACGGCGTTCTGGCAGTGGTGGCCGGCCCGGTGCCGCACCAGGCACAGCAGCTTCTCCTCTTGGTTGTGTCTCCGGATCACCTGGAAAAAGAAAAAACAGGGGGTTCAAGTCGGATGGCTCTGATGGCAAACAAGAAATTTTTTACTCTGAGGGTGGTGAGACACTGGAACAGGTTGCCCAGAGAAGTTGTGGATGCCCCATCCCTGGAGGGGTTCAAGGTCAGGCTGGATGGGGCCTTGAGCAACCTGCTCAGGTGTCCCTGCCCAGGGCAGGGGGGTTGGAACTAGATGATCTTTGAGGTCCCTTCCAACCCAAACCATTCCAAGACCCACCTGGATGCTCCTGAGTAACATGCTCTAGTTCTAGGCAATCCTGCTTCAGCAGGGGAGTTGGACTAGATGATCTCTATGGTCCCTTCCAACTCTAAAATTCAGTGAAATTCAGTGAAATTCTATGATTCTATGATGGGGAGGACCCCAAAAGTGGGTTCTGGTTGCTTTCCACAGCATTCCGTAGGGATCTGGGGGGGGCAGAGCTGTAGGGGCTGCATCCACCCATGGGTTTTTTGGGTGCTGGGGGGGGTGATGTGACCAGCCCAGGGGCTGCAGGCAGGGACGTGCTGCTCAGCAGGTATTTAGGATGGGAAACCCCAGGGAGTTTCCCCGGGGGTGGCCGTCACTCTCGCTTCCTCCCCCACAGCCGCAGAAAGAGCATCCTGCTCCTGCAGCTCCTGCTGGCCACCGCCAGCGAGGGACCTCCTGGTCCCCAGGCAGGGAGGGGACGGGCAGGAGCATCACCCCAGGGAGGGCTCTGAGGTGGGGGACGAGAGACGGGGTGGGGGGGAAGGCACTCACCCACTTGGCGATGGGGCAGCCCCGGGAGCTCTTCCCCTCCTTCCCCGTGTAGATGACCTTCTCAATGCGGATGGCCTTCCCCTTCTCGCCGTACCTGCCATGGGACAGGCATCAGCCCCACTTGCCCCCACCGTGCTCACGAGTCCCCCTGCTCACCCTCATGAGCCCCCACTCACGCCACCAGACCCCACTCACCCTCACGGGACCCCACTCGCCCTCATGGGACCCTACTCACCTGCACTGAGACCCCTCTTGAGCACCCACTTGCTTCACAGGACCCCACTTGCCCTCACTGGACTCCACCTGCCCTCATGGGAGCCCTCTTGAGCACCCACTCACCCCATGGGACCCCACTCGCCCTCATGGGACCCCTCTTGAGCCACCACTTGCCTCACAGGACCCCACTTGCCTCACAGGACCCCACTCGCCCTCACTGGACCCCACTCGCCCTCACGGGACCCCTCTTGAGCACCCACTTGCCTCACAGGACCCCACTTGCCCTCACTGGACTCCACTTGCCCTCACTGGACTCCACTTGCCCTCACTGGACTCCACTTGCCTTCACGGGACCCCACTTGCCCTCACGGGAGCTCTCGAGCACCCACTCACCCCACAGGATCCCACTCACCCTTGCTGGACCCCACTCGCCCTCCTGTGACCTCACTCACCTTCACGGGACCCCTCATAGGACCCCACTCACCCTCACAGGATGCTTCTCTCCTTCTCTCCTTCACAGGACCCCATGGGACCCCACTCACCTTCATCAGCCCCAGCTCATCCTCACGGGACACCACTCGCCCTCCTCATGGAACCCCATCCATCATCCCAGGTCCCCACTCACCTTCACGAGACCTCAGGGACCCCCACTTGCCCTCACAGGACCCAGCTCACCCCCCCAAGCCCCCACCAGCCCCCATGGGATCCCTCATAGGCCCCCACTTGCCCTCACAGGACCCCTAAGAATTCCCAGTTCACCCTCATGGCTCCTGCTCGCCCTCATGAGACCCCGCTCTCCCTCATGAGACCCCACTCGCCCTCATGAGACCCCACTTGCCCTCATGAGACCCCACTTGCCCTTGTGGCCCCCCCGGGACAGGAGGGGATGGGGCAGGGGCCCTTACCGCTCCTCCATGAGCTCCCTGATGGACGCCACGGTGGGCCCCGAGCCCAGGTGGGTGTAATAGGGTCCCTCGTCCTTCTCCACAATTTGCTCTGCAGAGGCAGAAAAGAGGGGGGGAACAGATATTTTGGGGTTTGCACCTCCACTGGCTGCCCCGAAGGATGCCAAACCCCCAAATTCCCCTCAAATGGAGCACTTTTGCACCCAAACCCAAAGGTACCTCAGCAGCGTTTCCCCCTAAGAGCACTGGGGAAGGGAAGCCGCAATTAGGGGTTCGTTAAACAGCCCGAGGGCTCCTCTTCATTTTCTGCTCCCAGCACTAAAAACGCCACTGGGGATCGGGGGGACGGGGGCTCAGCCCCAAAAACCTCCCCGGGGGGATGCAGCCCCCTCCAAGCCTCCCGGCAGGACTGTGGCTCCATCCTGGCACCAGGGCTCGGCACCGGCTGCTTTGAGCGTGGGGCATTTTGACGAGCTCTGATGAGATGAAGCAATTAGCAGCGGTGGGCAATTCAGCATATACCCCCCCGACCCCCCTGCTCCCCACCAGCTCCCACCCTGGCACCCGCCTGGCCCCGCTCACTGGGACTGGCGCAGCCGAGATGCTGCCAAAACCATCAGGGGATGATATTGGGGCTGAAAACTACCCGCTGGTGCCACTTCCAGGCTCATCAGGAGGATTTGGGGATGCTCAGGGGATGCCCGGAGTTGGCTGAGCCTGGGCAAGGAAGGAGCAGGAGCTACCGGGGAAGGATGCTGGGCTACAGAAGAAGGATGCTGGAGGCCACAGGCAAAGGCTGCTGGGGCTGCAGGAGAAGGATGCTGGGTCTACCAGAAAAGGATGCTTGGCTATTGGAGAAGGAAGCTGGGCTACAGAAGGATACTGGGGCTACCAGAAAAGGATGCTGGGCTACAGGAGAAGGATGCTTGGCTACAGGAGAAGGATGCTGAGGCTACCAGAAAAGGATGCTTGGCTATGAGAGAAGGATGCTGGGCTACAGGAGAAGGATGCTTGGCTATGACAGAAGGATGCTGGGCTATGACAGAAGGATGCCCGGGGCTACAGCAGAAGGATGCCCGGCCAGAGGATGCTGTGGCTACGGGAGAAGAATCCTGGGCTATGGATGCTGGGCTACTGCAGAAGGATGCTGGGCTACAAAAGGATGCTGGAGGCTATGGGAGAAGGATGCTGGGCTATAGGAGGAGGATGCTGGGCTACGAGAGAAGGAAGCTGGGGCTATGGATGCTGGGCTACTGCAGAAGGATGCTGGGCCACAAAAGGATGCTGGAGGCTATGGGAGAAGGACGCTGGGCTAGGACAGAGGTATGCCAGGTGCTATGGCAGAAAGATGCCAGGGCTATGGCAAAAGGCTTCTGGGCTACGGAGGATGCTGGGGCTCCAGCAGAAGGATGCTGGGCTATGGCAGAAGCTGGTGCTGCTAGAGAAGGATGCCGGGGCTAGCAGAGAAGGATGCTGGGCTACAGCCCTGCAAGCAACAACCCCCAGCAGCACCAAACCCCTCGGGGGGTTTCAGGGCAGGAAGGTGCTGGTGTGGGGAAGCCAAGGATGCTGGGGGCCAGCACAGGGGTCCATCTCCGGCGCAGGGGGATGCTCAAACGCCGCCGGCGGGGATGAGGACGCGGTGCCAGGGCCGGGGCTGATCCATCCTTCCAACCCTCAGCTCTCACCACCCTGATTTTCATTCCCATCATGTCGAACTGGCCGGGAGCCAGGGCGAGGAGAAAGCCGGGCTCAGCTGGGCTGCAGCTGTCCAGACAGGGATCAATACGGGCCACGCAGCGAAGGCTGATTTTATTACGGCGTCTAAACAGCACAGGCACCTAATAAAGCCCCGAGCCCCGACTCCTACTTAATTGCTTTCTCTCACAGCTTTGCCTTGAGAAAAACGGAGAGAGGTGGTGGGGGGAGGAGGGGAATCCCCCACCTTTCCCAGCTTTTAAAACAGGTTGCAAAGGAAAAAGCCACCCGAATCTTTTCAAGCAGCGCAGGGAGAAACTCCGAGATCGGTTCGAGCGGCTCCAGAAAAGCCTTTCATTCGCTCGGGCTAATTACTGCTGCCATTTACAAGCAAATAAATAAATAATCATAAGCCCTGCTAATAAAGTGCAGCTTGCACTTGGCCCCAGGCCACCTCTCCCAGCAGCGCGGGGGTTCGTTGGTC